TGGTGTGAGGCACTAAAGAGCTCCCCCACACACTGATACACACCAGCACGTTAGGGGCCCTGGGGTCGAAAGGCCACCAAGGTCACCTGCGGAGGCACGCCCACAAGTTCTCTCAACCACTGTAACGCTCTGACCAGAATCACGCGGTTCGTTATTTAATCACGATTGGTCTTGACGATCCCTGACACTAGACAATCAAGCCCTCAAAGCCCTCATGCACCACCACCAGCCGACACCACACCGGCTCTGTCGCCTCCCGTCGTCGGCCATTTAAACGGAGGAAAACGGATGCATGTCAAATCACTGCATCGTGACTCGCGACTTAACTTTCCATGGCTTCGGCATTTGATACCCGGCATCGCTCACGATTGGCGGCATTGGCACTTTATCCAGGAACAGCAAATGATCTGCCCTGAAGCGAGTGTTTGTGTGTCTGTTGTCTGTGTCCTTGTTTATTTGTTTATTTACCTTACCTTAAGCTATTTTGCCCGTCTTGCCCTCCCTTGTCTGTCCTCACTCAACAAGTCTCAGCAAGTCTCTCCCTCTGCCAAGGCAAACAGACGCGCCCATCCAACCAACCGTGGTGTTGCACTACCTGCCGCTTTAGATGACCGTCTCATTATGACCACCAACTCGGAAATTACACACCTCCTATATTCGCTCATGCAACCGAGAGTGAGAGGGTTCCATAGTGTATCCCTCCCACTGTAACGCAACAGTTGAGGAATGGAGTCACCACGTGCGATTGTTTCGGCCGATTTGGCAAATCAGGCCGCCCGAGATGACCATGCGGCCGTAGGGCCTATGCACATTGAATTGACTGTGTGTAATACGGTGTGCGAGAACTAACCCTCCATTCCATCGACGTGCCTTCCATATATATACTCAGTAGGGTACCAACAACAGTTGCTTGTCTTGTTCTTTACAGAGACTGAGACTCTGACATGGATACCATAACCTGTTATTGCTAACCAACACCAACAACCATCATGCCTGTCTCACGGTTCGGGACGCCTCTCCTGGCCACCTGGATTTCACTCCTCGGCTATGCAACAGCCGGGAGTCTGAAGGATATCGACCATGTTGTCCTCTTCATGCAAGGTACCTGACCAACGCCATATCGTAGGCGAGATGAACAAAACAAAACAAAAAGCAATGCTAACCATGGACCAGAAAATCGTGCGTTTGACCACTACTTTGGTACCATGGCTGGAGTACGAGGGTTCAACGACGCCAATCTACAGATGAACGGCGACGTTCCTGTTTGGCAGCAGTTGACGCCTTCTGGGCAGAACGAGAAGTATGTGAATCCGTGGTACATCAACTACCTCGGTGGAAACTGGTCAGAGGCTACCCAGTGCATGCTCTCTGGAAGCAACGCTTGGTATGAGAACCATGTTGCCTTGAACGGCGGCGCAAACGACCACTGGGCCAAGGACAACAACCCTGCGAGCATCGGCTTCTTTAAACGCCAAGATTTGCCGCTCCATTTCGCTCTCGCGGATAACTTTCTCGTTGCAGACATGTACCAAGAAGCTGTTGTTGCTGCGACCAACCCCAACCGAGTCACATGGATTTCTGGCTCCATCAACGTTCCAGGTGGGCCGCAAACTCCAGACCAGGGGGGCAACCCATACATAGACAACAATGCGAGCCCTGGTTGTGATGGAGGCAACTTCAACTGTTACCCTCTCAAGTGGAAGACGACTGGTGAGTATTATGAAGATGCTGGAACAAACTGGCAGGTATTTCAGGATACCGACAACTTTGACGACAACGCCTACGCCAGGTTCGAGCAGTTCCAAGACGCCAAGCCGGGTTCATCCTTGTTTCAGCGGGGGCTGCAGGGGCAGACACTCAACACCTTCTATGAACGAGCGGCAAACGGAACCCTCCCTGAGGTCTCTTACATTGTCGGTCCCATGGAACTCTCTGAGCATCCTCCCTTTTCTCCCAACGATGGTGCTTGGCTTCAGCACAAGATTGCCCAGGCTGTTCTTGACTCTCCCAAATACAACAAGACGGTTCTCATGATCTCCTACGACGAAACTGGTGGCTGGTTCGACCATGTGAACCCCTACAAGTCCCCCGACGGAACGGCTGGTGAGTGGATTGACGATCCCTATCACCAAGTGGGCCACACATTTGCTGGTCCTGGATTCCGTCTGCCTTTCTACATCATCTCTCCCTTTACACGCAAGGGCGGTGTCTATACAGGCCATGCCGATCACAACTCCCAGATCCTGTTTGTTGAGAAATGGCAGGCAGCCAAGGGTCGAAATGTCAGGACCAACCAGATGGTGCAATGGCGCCGAGATCACATGTCTGATCTCGTCGAAGCCTTTGACTTTGAGAACCCCGACTACTCCATCCCCAGTCTGCCGAGCATGCCTGAGCCCCACAGAGATGCTAATGGAAATTACGATGGATCTTCGTACTGCGAGTCGCGGTACCCTAGCCCCAACCCGCCTGTTCCTTATACCGGCGACGGTGTCGTTCATAACATGTCTACGGTGGTGGAGAAGGGCTTCAAGCCCATCCGCGGAAAGTTGACAGAAGGTCGTTTCCTCGTCTTTGAGATGTTCGGCGCAGCCCTCAGCCAGATTGGCGGAAGGTTTGTCGGTCTCAGCAGAGCCACCTCCAGCCACGACAGTTATTCGCAGCGCTGGATTGTCCATGCCCTTGAGATTGGCGGCGACGACTTTAGAGTCACTACTTGCAGTGGGCTATATATTTGCAGCGGTGGTTCGCTGTGCAGCGACCAGAAGAAGGCACTCGTTTTGACCGCCAGCTTCGCCCCGAGCAAGGGATATGCGTTCAACATCAAAGGGACAAAAGACTACCTCGTCGCCAACGGCAAGGGAGTGTCTGATAAGGGAAGTTTACTACACTGGCAGGTCTACAGTGTCAACTATTAATCCCGCAGGCCGGGCCTATATTTCTTTTCTTGTGTATACTTTTTTCTTTCTCAACAGTACATACTTTTTAGGGCTACTCTGCATCAATTTTCCTTGTATGCATGGCTGCTGAGTTATTTCAGCACCGGTTTCTTTTTGTCACTGCATCAATATTAGGAGCATAGGGAGAAATTCATTCCTCGGGGCCTTTGTCATAGACTTTTACCTCTTCACCGTTGGTTTCTTGTCATTGTGCACTCGGGCTGTTTGGCTCACGGATTTTCCTTGAAGTAGGCCATAGATTGAAGCTGTTAGGGGTCTAGGTAGTGGAATACTATAAATATTCTTTAACAATGTTCTCTTTTGAATGGTGCCGTTGCAGCAGAATCATGGACGTAGCTCTCGGCAAGAGGACTCGTCACACTCATGAGCTGATCTAGCAAGGCCACCATCCATGATGTACATCTCCAAACACAATTTAATTGGCCCAGCTTTGATTGTGAGGGCATGAAAACTTTTATTCTTGGAAATAGTTCATCCCCTGGCTTACTCGTGGACGTTTTGAGCGCATTCGTAACGGTATGTTGATTTGGGCCATGGTGAGATATTACAGCATTGAAAATAGAACAAAACGACTGATCCATTAATGCGTCTATGACTATATCTGACTGCCTTGTATACAAAAATAAAAATAAAGATAAAGGCCATGCTCAATTCGAACCCGGCACGTCGCGGTCACGCCCAAAAAGGAAACGAAGCTGTAACTCCTCTCCTGGAGCGATGGGCGTCGACTAAGTATATATCAGGTAAGCACCTAACAGTACTATTCAATTGGTGTATGGTTGGGTGAGCTACTTCGTTGGATTTGGAGCTGTTTATTTTGACTGATAACCCCTTGCCGTGGGGTAAGATGTGTGGGAAGTAGGTGATGGGTTGACTCCTTCCTGGGGGATGTTGGTATGCTTGGTACGTGACGATGGAGGCTTTACCTACCGTATCGGGCTGCGTGTGTGCTCAAAGGGGAACTACGGAGATACGGAGAGTCTACTAGATGCTATCTGTAGACATGGTCCAGAAAAGAGAGGTTGAACATGGGACTTGTAAAATAGTTATATGGAGAAAGGGCTGTCAGTAGAGTCACCAAACGCAAAGGCAATGTTGCTCACCTTCCAACCATCGCCAAGACCAGAGACATCTTTTTTTTACCAGTCTAACAGTTGTGAAGTAATATGATTAGTGTAGATTGCAAAAAAATGGTTGCTTCAGACAGCTTCATGTTTGCAGTGTCAACGTGGGCAGAATGAGGGTGAGAGCAAGATGTGAGCTTTGGCTTCACGGCCACCAATGACCTACTTTCCACCATACTAAATACACTCTCGCAATAATAAGCAAAAAAAGATAAAGGCATCAAATTATATATCATTCAAGAAATCGGGCCAGGCTTGAATCTACCAAGAACTACAAAAAAAGAAGTCATATATAGTTCGAACCACCTACGTTGAGGTCCAAAAAGAAAAGCGAAGCGAATTGATGTCTGAGAAGCGCCGAAGGGCCTCTACTTATCTAAATGAGCTACTTTCGCTGAAATATTTTTGTGTTTATTCTAGCTTATATCCCGTAGTTTGCTGGCTTTGTGTGAGTGGGAGGTTTATTTGACTGGCTTCATGGAGAACTCCGTTTGGAGTTTGGCGATCTCTGGATCTCTACTGTGTTCGGTTTGGCTAGCAGGTTGGTAATTTTTACGAGTACTGTTTCTCTTACACTATCAATTATATATAGATAAAAAGATTCATTTATTTCGGTATGAAACGAAGAATACGACTCCAAGGTAGTGAGAATAACAGAGATTCCATTCGTCGTAGAGGGAATAAGTGCAGTAAAAAAATACAGTCGATTCAATTGCTCTGCTTATTGACACAAGCTCGACAGGCATTCCACTTATTATGCTAGTGAAAGGTTGTGGGAGCTCTTTGGTCGCGATAAGATAAATACATTGCCATTCCACTAGATCTTGCAAAAACAAATAAACACCGTGAAGCATAACTTGTAATGAATGCTTGATACAAGCCAAAGCGGCCAAGGGAGAAAAAAGAAACTCGAATTTGCCGTAACAAGGAATCGAACCTTGGTTTCCAGTGATTCACTGGGTCCACAAACTGATGTCCTAACCACTAGACGATTACGGCTGACATAAACGAGCCGTCTTGGCTTACTCTACACAGATTGCTCGTCTATAGATTTTACACGTTCAATCTCTCGAACACAACAAGGGTACTGTGAGCTCCAATTATGGTTGTGCCATTGACGGTTGGCTGCAACGCGTATGGTGAATTATTATTGATTCAATGGTCTCTTTTTGCGGCAATGTATATTTAGATAAATAAGTAGTTGAGTTTACTATTCATACCTGAAGTTGATATGTCAAGGTTCGCCGCGTTGGAATTGTTTTGTTCATCGTTCGACGGGCACGCGACCACCACAGCAACGAACATGTCAACAGTTTTCCATTTCTACCCGTTCACTAGAGAAATGTCGCGGAACTCTACGGAGCAAATCATCCTAGCAAATAGAAACGAAGAGACTTGTTCAAAGGCGCATGCCAGCGAATTCCAGGGCTTGCTAGCATGCCGAACCACATTCGTAGAGTTACGTCATTAACTCCAAGCTAGCTTGAGGAGCAGCTCTGTCAATCCAAGGCACCAAGGCGTGACCCTGCTCTTGCGTCACATGAAAACGTCTGCCACTTTCATATTGAAAATCACTTTTTTCTTTCTGAAAATTCAATTCCTTCTTCAGTTCCTCTTCCTGTATACATTCCATCCCCTAAATCAATTCAATTGCAAAGCAAAGCTCACGAGTAAGTTTGTCGCATCACCATGTCTGTGCTATGACGGTGTCGCTGATGGGTCTCGATTAGTGTCTTACGCCGATATTGCTGCCAGAGGTGCTAAACAGACTCCCGAGGAGGTAAAGTTGCACTCGTCGCCAGCTTCAATTGACTCGCCAATATGGCTTCAATGGTCCCATGGCTACAAAGATGATGAATTTGTGTGTCCTGGAACTAACACTGGTGAAATAGGCTGCTGCCCCTCAGCCGATTGAGATCATCCCCAATGAATCCGCATCCACGGCGTCCCTCATCGACGTTGATCTGCCTAGCGTGCACACCGTCAACTCCGAGTTCCTAGAACAGGACATTCAAACAGAAACCCAAGCCGAGCGCGTCAAGCGTGAAGAACAAGCCGCCAAGATCAAGAAGTCACAAGCCAAGAAGCATGCTAATGGCAAGGCCAAAGAGGCTGATTCATGGCTCGTCGAGCAATTCTCACAGCTGTCAGATGGCAGCGCCGGTGCTCTGGCAATCGTCAACCTCGCTGGCGTAGTAGGCGTAACCTCAATCCTCGGATACAAGGCCTGGGGCTTGTACGATAGGAGTCGATTAAGCTGGCAAAACGTGGGAGTTGGTGTTGGTATTCTCGCTGCGGTTGGTGCGGTAGAGGCTGTGTTGGGACGCTACCTCTATAAAGGCAAGGGAAAATAAATCATGAAAGAGGCTGAAATGGGGATTGGTAGTTAGTTATCAGAGCGACGCTTATCGCTTCTCTTCCGTACCACATGGCGCCATGCTTGTTAATATCAAACGGTATAATAAAACGAGTGACATTCTCCACGTGCTGTTGAGAAGTCGTGATGTTGGTGCTTGCTTTCTCCAGCCTCCAGTTTTGCCCCTCATCCCATCCCACCCTCTCCGCGATAACGGTGCGGGACACGACCAATTGACTCGGGAATCTTTCGGGATACGAGTTCAAGAGATAGATATTTAAAGCCCCGGTTCTCCCATGTAGTTATTCGATAGTCTCTGCGCATTTTGCATAATCAGTTTACATCAGACTGTCACGGATCTGTTGTGTTGGGCTGCGTGAAAGATAAGGCCGTCGACAGATATCACTCCACCACAGTGGGTGACGTCATCTCCACCAACAGCTCAACCATTGGATGCTCCAGATCCTTTACTCACCGGCTGCGCCATCCGATCCTGATAACAAAACTCTACGACCCATATATCCTAATATTTAATAGTTTAATCGAAGCATTAATACCGTTCCAACAACATCTACTATTTCGGCCCGTTCCGACCTTCATCACGTCTTGGTTTGCGACACCAACATCCTCTACTTCAAATGAATCAACGAAAAGCCATTGATCCGAACCTGTTCCGCTTGCGTCAAGCGCGCGACGAGGATGTCCCAGCCATGGCCGCCCTCGACGTATCCGCCTTTCTCGACAGCCCCATGCACAAAGCCATGTTTCCTGAGCATTTACGCATCAAGCCCGGCATACAAGACCAAGTCGAATGGAACATGACACGAATGCGGAAAGGTCTCGCCGATCTCAACCTCTACTTTTTAGTAGTGACGTACAGGAGGCCCGGGGGGCGAAATCATTGTGGGCTCCGCCGAATGGTCGGCGCCTGCGGAGGATGATGCAGTAGCACAGCAAGAGGACGAAAAGCCGACAGAGGAGATGGCGGACGATATAGCAACGAGGTTAGACGGTCTACCGTCTTGTTTAGATAAGGGGGCAGTGATTGAAGCTGCTACAGAGGTCATGGAGTTGCTGGAACAATCGCAGGAGGCGTTTAGAGGGAAGAATAGGAACAAGATGTGGAGTAGGTACGGTCCTAGCGATTCCATCAACAGGTTTACTAATATTTGTTTAATAGCACTCAATTCAATATCCGTAGATGGCGATTATCGTGGATTAGGTATTGGCAAGCTACTTACCCTTTGGGGCATGGAAAGGGCAGAACACGACAAGGCAGACATTTGGATAGTGTCATCTCCTCTCGGGAAGCCTTTATATGAGAAATTGGGATTTTCCATGGTTGCCGAGGGGTCAAGGCTTGGTGAGCCTCAGTATGTCATGTTGAGACTATATAAAGGCTCTCGATCATAATGGGTGATGATGGAGGACTGTTGGCGGCACCAACTGAATCTGGGAGCATTTGAAGAGTTTGTTTTATTTAGGTGTTAGGAAATTGCAATGGTCTGAATTATTCCGACAATACTGATACAAAGGCGTCGTCGAATATCGTTATAGCAGGTATGGTTTCCCACAAGATTAAATACAAAGACAGCTATTTCTTTTTAAGACAGAAATCAGCTCAGTATATGGTTTGAGTTTCACTAAGAAACTATATCTAAGATTTAGGGTAGCTGTTTGATGCAGAGCCTCAATTTGAACAAAGAGACACTGAATCTGTAATATCATATCTTATGATTTAAAATGGTTAAATGGTACCAGGCATATAATTCTCTATCAAAGATGAAAACCATACAGCTTTTTCTTTGCTGCATCGTTTCTTTCTCTTCTTTCCTCTCTTGGGCGGGACCCCAAATGATGATTAGTCAGCAATTCTCGACCTCATGACGCTATTCACGATCTGTTTACGATCGAGACACTCGCATCTGACTTTCATCGAAATATCGAAATACGCCATTGAATCTTTAATTAACGCGTTATTCTCAATAATATTCTTCTTGGAACACCTTTGAGCAGCCTAGGTTCTGGTGGTTGGTAACTGCCACGCGATTTCTCCATGGCGCGTCGCAAAGCACAGGCTTCAGATGTTTCTCAAGTACAGAGACAAAGCACACCAGATAATTCCACCGACGACATTGAGGAGTCACTAGTGCCGCCATTCTTCAACACGACGTTTTCAACACATCGCATATCGCCGCTTTATATCGGGACGCAGAAGTTGAACCAAACCCGCCTTGACCTTCTCGCTCACAGGCTACGAGATACTCTAGTTGGAGATGTTGTCCGAGGCATTCAAGTCGGCCTGGAAGCCACAGATACGCCAATAGGACAGGTTGGGCCGTTGAGGGCCGTAAAGTTTCGCTGGTTTCATGCCAGCGCTGTATTGAGCGATGGAGAACTCGTGGGTGGCAATGAGAGTCTTTTGGATGATCAGAAACAAGGGCTTTGGATTGAGATTCGACATGAGAATGCATCATATGTTGCACTATTACTACCTGGATATTCGAACTCGCCAACTGGAACGAACAACTCCGCCGCACCGCTTTGGTCGATGCAGCCTGAGAATCCACAAGGCGCTGAGGCTGACCAGAGCCACTTCATTCACCTACCGCTTCTTCTCCTCCGGATGCCACAGGCGCTCAAATCCGTTATTGGCGACTGGTTATCGACGACCTTTGACTGTCGTGTGAGCAAGCTGAACCTCGGCACAAAGACGCTTGTCAGCGTGTGGGAAGGATGGATTCAAGCCGCTGGACTTCCTAGCAATTCTGCCGATTTGGTATTGACCCTAGCTTTCAATGCGCCGCTTGCGCAAAAGGATGGAAACAACAGCATAGACAGCGACGACAACTGGACAGAGGCGGGGCTGAGGTCTATGGACGTCAGCATTTCATCTTCAGATCTACGACGCTTCTTACGAGCTGGAAAGGCACTCCAGAAGGAAACCAGGAACATTAGCTCAGGGCCATGGGAGAATGACAACCGCGAGCGTCGCAGGTTAGCCGGCCCTAATGTGGATGACGGATGGGCTTGGCGAAAGAACAAAGATGGCACTGAACACCCCTTTACCGAAGCTCTGGCGCAATATCTCAACCACTACTTGGCACTGAACTTATTCCACCCTAGTGTTCGTGTTGTCCAGGTGTCATGTGGAGGGTTCGTGCTTGCGCAGTCGCGGGTCAAGATTATCCGACCGGGCGGTGCAACTGATGACTTGTCTCGGGCTGCGTGGATGTTTGTGATGCAGCTGGGTGAGAGGATACGCGGAGGCGACATGCCCTCGATAACATAGAGTTATGGAAATCGAAGGATTATAATTTTAGCCAACGTGTTCTCGGAATGTCCGCCGATGCTAACCGCGGTCTTGGGTGCCATCAAGGGACTCAAAGGCCCGGCACATCTTTCTGCAGACAGGGTACGCCCGCAATTCCCGACCTATGCTTTAATACGAGAAAGTCTCATCGTCAAAAGTGCGGGCAAAGTTGGGGTTTCGGGAAAGTTTGAGACACGTTGTCTTCTGCCATGCGTTGTACATTGCAGGGCGGCGGCGGCGGCGGCGGCGGCGCTTGGTATCCCAATCTAACGGGGACTCATTATTCTCGTCCATTGACTTCATATCAGCGCCGTAGTCGCAAAGTAATCT